CCTCGTTCAACGAGACTATTATAATTGTAATTGGCGCATTAATGTTCAATTTAAGTTAAGTCATCTCTTTGAGATGACTTAACTCTATTTTAACTTTTCTAGCGATTCTATTGGTTAATTCAGTTTTATTTTTTCTAGTGTGAATGGGGTCATATACCGGCTTGTCCACGTAACGCGTCAACTCTAATACCAATAGTTTGAAAAATCAGATCTAAATATCGACACTATTATCCAATATAGCTAGGAAGAAAATGGGTAAAAGCTACTTGTAGTTTTCAGAAGACCAAAGTTAACTTGCATTTATTCAATACTGTGGATATCTTAATAGCAGGAATATGATTTTATTTTTTTGGTTTTCGTCATCGCGTAACGAAATCGTCATCGCGCAACGTTAATGTGACCAAAGTTTCACTACTAATCAAAGACCTTTTTCAAAAAAGCATTTCTCACACTAATACCCCAAAGCGTCTTCTACAAATCTATTGTAAAATATTTTGTTCAGAATCATATACATTTAGAGAAAAACAAAGAACAAATATAACACCCCCCAATTTTTGTCTCTTGTTCATCACCGCGTAACGCTGTAAACCCCCTCCCATAATAGAAGCCCCCCCCCATATTAAAAGCCCCCCCCCCCGTATTAGAAGCCCCCTCTGGAAGGAGTAATATGAGAGATGTATTAGAAGCCCATGGGCTTGTATTAAGTCCAAAATTTAGAATTTTTTTCAAAATCAATCAATTTTCTTCTGAACAATCACAGTACATGAGTAAATGCTCATCGCGCATCACGCTTTATAAAATTGTTGTATATTCTTTCTTTATCTTTTTCATTATCATACATTCGATCATATGTTTGTAAAGTAAAGTAAAAAAAATTCAATATATGAACTTCATATCAAATAAACATTGACATACATGACGGAACAATTCTTTATTCTTATTTAAGAACGACAAAATTAATACATAATAATCAATCGTACACGTATTCAGATATTTCATAACGTGACCTTTTGTAAGAGAGAAATGCGCTGAATGAATAGGCTGAAAAGGCATATGTATACAAATATATCCCGACGGCACCGTCCATACCATTCAATTAAAATATCTTTTTCTTGAATTGTTTTTTTCATTAATTATGTACCAAATCGAAGAACATCTGGCGCCGTTACCAGGCGTTAGTACAAACTCGTTTTTAGACAAATCCAGTTCCGACAATGATTCATGCGTTGAAATTACGTCTGTTGTCGATGAAAATGAAAATGAATTAATCGAATGGACTCGCTATTTACAACTTAATCCGAATAGTGACGAAGATAGCGACGAAAATTATTCCTCGACTCAACCTGCACCACTCGTTAATTATTCGTCGTCAGAATCATCCAGTGATGGCGAAAACTTATTAAAATCATCTCATCCATCTGCATCTTCTAATAACAACAGCGTTGTCGATATTACGTCTTCATCAACATCAACTATCATCAACAAGCGCAAGCGACGTCAGTGGACCGTAAACGAAAAATTAAATGCGATCGCCTGCTTCGAAAAAAACAACAGCAAAAGCCAGACTGCTAGAGACGTCGGATGTGCTACAAAACAACTTCGCACATGGATCAAGAATAAAGATGAATTATTAAAATTGTCATCACGAAAGAAAGGTGAGTAATTCATTTTTATTAAATGTAAAAAGTAACTCAAGCTCTAATTTTGTTTCCTTCAGGTAAAAAACGCAAGCGTCTCGATGGAGGTGGTAAAAAATTAACTTATGTGGACCTTGACTCTCGTTTATTTGCATGGTATCGTCAAAAGCGTACTGCTCCTGGATCGACAACCACACCTGTTTCTGATATTCGTAAGGAAAGAGTAACATTGCGTCAACTTCAACGCCGTGGACGACAACTAAGTGAAGAATTAAATCATCCATGTCCATCATCGAGATGGTTTGGTCGTTTTCTCGTTCGTCATCGACTTTCTCTTCAACGTCCTAAACGATAGCAGAAGATTCCACTCGACGAAGTTCATCAAAAAGCAACTTCATTTTATACTTTTCTTCGACGAGCAAGTCGATGGGCTCCAAAACGTGGCCCAATGGGGGCCTTTACTCCGCGTGACGTCTTTAATATGGATGAATCTCCACTTGCATTATTCGGTGACCAAGCAAAACGATCCATCAATGATATCAACACTTGCAATGAAGTAGAAGGATGTTTGAGTAACAAAGTGAGTACTTTTCTTTTTCTACAACACAACAAATCTAACTTATTCATTCATCGTGAGTTTTTGTATACAACTTGCAGATGAATTTTCGTAGATCTATAAAACGCTGACCTGACAGGCTTCAGACCTAGTTAAAGTTTGCGTTATCAAATCTACATATTCCTTAACACAAGAACGATTGAATATAATCACAAGTCTTCGTTGAATTTTAGAAGATATCGGTAGACAGGTCAGTTTTGCTTTTATGAGGAGCTATACAAAGAATTATTCTATTTGTTCTGATAAGATCGTAAGATCACAGTCTTTTTAGCATAATAAAAAAAAATTATTCTATTTGTTAATTTATTTTGTTTCTTCATTCAGAGATTTTGTACGGTTATTCTTACAGTCTCAGGTGAAGATCAACGTGTTGGTCCTGTTTTATTATTTAAAGGGAAGGGTCACATTTCGCCTGATGAACAAAGACAATATGCTAATGATGTCAAAGTGTTCTTCACTCCGGAAGGCGTTATCAATATTCCAACGATGAACAAATATAATGAATGGTTCATTTCTAAGGTAAGACATCTCTAAGTTTTCTGAATAGAACTCTTCCGAATTATACATTCGATCCAGCTACAGTCGATTCTCCATTATTACATATTGATGAATCTGAAGACAATGATGAAGAACAACAACAAATTGAAATTCAAGCAAAATTAGCTGAAGATCAGGTCAAAAAGTTATCACAACAGACAAATAAACAATTAAAATTAACTCATTTTTGGAAAAAGTAATCGGATTAAATTAAATTAAAACTTCTTTTTTTCTTGCAATTTATAACTTATTCAAGCATTTTTTTATATCTATATTTATGTTAATAAGATTTTGTATGATTAATTGAACTTATTCTAAATAAAGAGTCAAGATATTTGAAATAACAACTTTCTTATGTGTTTTTTCAGAAAATGTTACACAAAAGTCATATTAGAAGCTCCCTATAATAGAAGCCCCCCATAATAGAAGCCCTCCCATTATAGAAGCCCCCTTTAAAATTTTTTTACAGTAGACAGTTTAGACTAATATGAGGGGGGGGGGTTATATTTTTGCTATGATTTTCAGAATGGTTAAATAAATAATCTCCAATTTACCGGATTCCAAGGGTATCTAAGGAGACACATCTTCCGACGAAAGAATGAAATTTCTAAGGGATTTCGTTGCTGAGAAAATCCGAAGACAGTGTGGACAAAACGTCATCGCGTTACGCTTAGACAAGCCGATACACCTCTTTTTTTCTTTCTTTGAGCAGTATGTACATTTTTTTTCTCTCTCCTTGTTGAAACAGAGAATGAAGAAAGGTCAAATCATCGTTTTTTTT